CTGGGTCTTCTTCTGGGTCTTCTGCTGGGTCTTCTGCTGGGTCTTCTTCTGGGTCTTCTGCTGGGTCTTCTTCTGGGTCTTCTGCTGGGACATCTTCTGGGTCTTCTGCTGGGACATCTTCTAGGTCTTCTGCTGGGACATCTTCTTGGGTGATTTCTGGATCTTCTGCTGGGACATCTTCTTGTGCGATATTAATTTTTTGATATTTCTCCTGTTTCTTCATAGAATTCTTGGTATTCTGCGGGTTGATGAAAGAGAAACACATATTTTTATTTTCCCGATATTGCAAAAGTTAGGACAAAATGAAGAACAAGTATACAATATGCGAATTACACAATCTTTACACAAATTATTATTCACACTCAGCGTTCGCGCTGCTCAAACAACACATGATTCTTCGCATGAAATTCTGTGTTGCAATTTATGCAACGCAGAAACGACGAATCTAACTTTACAAGTCCAAGTTATTGCCACAAGGGAGATATTATGGGGTCAACCAAAAAACATTTCCTCGAGGCAAGCACTTGAATCTCGTGAAATTTAGACTTCACGCGTGGAGGATGTAACGCAAATAGAAATATTCCTATGCACATGCTTAGAAATATGATGAGCATTAACGTACCTTGTTGTTTTTTTTATTCCATTTTTTGGGTCTCCCACAGCGGTACTTCCGCTTGCTCTTTAATTTTCTCTTACCACCCATGGTTACACGTCATAGCATATTTCGATATTAAGAAAAGAATACTGCCTCTTAAGAATAAGGGGCTTCTATATGTATGTACGTGGTGAATACACGTAAGAAATAAACATAAACAGGACAACAAAATATAAATGTTTTTTCCGGCAATTAACAAGTGCCAAAGGGCAGATGAAAACGCGAAAAATGAAAATACAAAGTATGGATGTAAGTGTGATGGGGAAAATGCTAGTGTAAAAGAGGTGCAAATAATAAGGCGCAAACGTGTTAAGGTGTAAATGTGTTATACGAACATTCCAAATATAGGATACGTTAGAGCGTATCTTATATGTGAATGAGTAACACTGGTGTTTATACAAATAAAGGGGTGCAAATAATGAGGTGCAAACGTGTTAAGGT